AGTTCAAACGACTTTGCAATCTGACGCATTAGCCCACAGCACCACACCAGGACTCCAAGAGTCCAATAGGTAGGTATTATTATTATTTGCTGTTGTTGTTGTTAAGTGTCAAGTCAGTCTCAACACACAGCAACCCTGCATAGGGTTTCCAAGGAGAGGCTTGCAGGTTTGACCTGCTGACTGTGAGGTTAGCAGTCCAGCGTTTATCCTTCAGGGCCACACCAAGACTCCTGGTAGTATTATTATTGCCCCCTAAATATGTATTCCTCTTTTTCAACTTCCAGGCCAAGGTCCTATCATTTCCCTTCTGATGCTACCAACCACCCTCACCTGGAATTCCAGGGATTCAGTTTTGCCCTACTTCCTTGTGAAGGCCCAGCCCAGAATAATCCTCCTCTGTGCTCTGAAAGGATTCATGACTTGACGGCACTTAACAACAACAACAACAATGAATGCTTGAAACATTTTAAAATGCAGATTCAAAATATGCAGATCCATGGACTCTACCCCAAAGTGACGGCAATAGAATCTCTAGGAATTAATATTACAGACAACTCCACAGTAGTCGTCCCAGACTGGCTTTATAACTGTGGCCTTCAAGCCAAGCATCATACAACAGACCAGCTAAACCAAAGGACTGGCCTATGTAGAGAAGATAGAGGAGTATCATAGTCAGTGGGCAGGAAAAGGGCTATCTCAAATCATTTATGTGTGAGAAGTGGAAGTCTTCATATTTGGGGATTAAAAGACTAATGCAGTCGTTTTCAACCCTGGCTGTATATTAGAATCATCTGGGGAGATTTCAAAAACATTCTGAAGAGTAGGTTGCACCCTAGATCAGAGGCCAAGCATTGCTATTTCTTAAAGTATCCAAGGTACAGAATCATTAGTCTAAAGTGTCTCTAAAGGCCAAATGACAGGTTCAAGCTGCAGATGTGGCTGGAATCTCCCCATCGTGTTGGAAAAGTCTAGAAATTCAGGGGACCTGTGTAAGCCATCAGCTCCGCCTGTCTGGGATGACAACCGTGGAGTCTGCTTAAAGTTTGCCCTCCTTCTAGAAGCAGGATACCCTTGCATTGTTAATTTCTATTGTGCAATAGAGGTGGCACATGAGAATGGGAAAAGACACTTGCATGGAAGACAGGAGACAGAAGTGGCAGAAGTCAAGATATAAGAAGGAATATTCTCTCAAGTAGCGTAGTGGTTACGAATCGGGCTGCGAACCTTAAGGTCA